AAATAAATATTCTGTATTACTTTTTAGAATGAACGTGGAAAAATTTATCAATCAGTTTTTCTTTAATCTGAGTCATGTATTGTGAATCTCTGGTGGGAATGTGATTCTCTGCAGCGATAAGCAGAAGATCGAGTGAATCCTAGCTTCTTTCGATTCCTCTAAAGTTGATTTCTCCGATTGTCGATTAACTTTAATCATGGAGCAATCGTTTTCTCTCTCTATCTTCTCCTAGAGGCAGAATCACCAAAAGAGGTAAATGAAGAGACAATTGAATTACCGTTAAAGTTAATCGACATTGGAGAAATCGTTTCATTTTTTTTTACTGTATTTCATTACACAGAAACACTATTTCTTATTCTGGTGCAACATAGATAATTCATGCAATGATTCATTACTTGGTTTTACTGTCTAAAGGATAAGTCATCTTTATTAATTAACTGAATTATTTCTCAAGTATACGAAATGACATCAGCAGTTTATCTTAATTAATCTTAATTATTAATTCCAAATAATTTTAGACAATTTATTATGTAGATACGCAAGAAAATATATTTGATAATATCTTATTGAAGATTACAATTAATTTTCTTTTATATAATATTTTATAGTAAAAGAAAACGTATAGTAAAGAAATTTTTATTCTACTCAATGCTTATATAAATGAAAATGTTATTAAAAAATACACACTTGATTGGTTAAATTTTTTTAAACAAGTGATTAATTAGAAATAAATTGTTTATAAAATAAAATTAATCTTTATACAATTTTTCTAAATATATTATTTTGCAAAAATATTTTTAAAAAATGTAGAGTGAAACTTGCTTGAGAAAATAAATTCTTTGATTGTGGAGATACTGTGTGTGTGTGTGTGTGTGTGTGTGTGTGTGTGTGTGTGTGTGTGTGTGTGTGTGTACTGTGAGATACAATAAAGAGAATCTTACGGATTGGACACGAGAATAATGTATGTTATGTCTATATCCATCTTTAGACACAGGTCGCTCTAACTAGTTGACTCAGCTTGCACGCAAGACAAAGTGAAACAATCGGAGCAAGATCGATGAGCTGAGGAGAGCGCTGTGCTCATTAGAGAGAAGGCCGTTAGGAATAATTGCGGCAGCGATGAATGGCATTTCCTTGAATTCTTGTCCGGTGGTTCCTGCCTGGTTACGTAACCGATAAAATAATTTGCGGTTCGGCGTACCGACGCGAGAGTAATGTTCAACGCGGAATTCTAGGACAGCAGGACGACGTAACCATGGCGATGTGTTTGCCAAACATGAGAAAGACGAGGGCACGATACTTTGTTCGCCTGATGACATTCGGATGAAACGGAAAGACTACCGAGTCGCACGAATACAATTAAATATATCTCATTCAAGGTCATACATGTCATGAATATACCTAGTTACTCGACGATGCGAAACACGTTCACCTTAAAAGAACTCGGAATTGCATTAGGAAGGCCACATTTTATCATGCTTTACAAACACCAATTTGTTACGCGTAAAAGATGAACAAATTATTTCAAAGTAAATGAAGCTAAACTTGAAAGTAACAACATAGATAGAATTACTTTTAATTTATTAACAATGAAATAAATATAATATGAAAACAAATGTATAACACATTTCGATATATTTTACGTTCTATTTGACGCTAATTTAATATTTTGCAATGCAATGAATTCATTTTTTAAAAGCAATATTTTAGTATTACGAAATTAAATCTAATTCAATTAAAGAGCACATAATGTCAAATTAACAAATTAGTAACTTCCTAAGTAATCTAAAAGCACGACAAAGCGTAATCATGCAAACCCATGTTTCATAATAAAAGAGAAATACGATATTAAGGCTGGTTCACTGCAGCCATCTTGAATTATGATATTAGAAAGCACATAATGGAAATTGCTACAAAATACATTAAAGTAGGAATGTGTATGTGTTTTTCGACGAAATAACGTTTGCATTCAATAGGATAGACTTGTTACATGTATCGAAAATTCTCTTTTCACTTTGTTAATTAATAAATAACCATATATTTAGAATTGAATTGCGGCTTTACTTTCAATTAAGCACTATTCATTTCTAGTTATACAATTATTTATTGAAAGGAGAGATATAATAGAAAGGAAAATTTTCGATATATTTTGCTTTAATTCTATCTAATGCAAATGTTATTTTATCAATAAACATTTCTATTTTAATGTATTTTGCAAGAATTTTTATTATATGTTTTCTCGCTTTATGTTATAAATATCAAGATGGTTATAGTGAATCAGCAAGAGTTTTAAGATAATTGCATTCTGAATACGTATTAAAGAATATTATCTTCAATCAAGTCGAACAACTTTTTTGTATACATAATTTTTGCAGACATAAATGCAACGATAATAGAAGCAAGAAAAATTTAAATAAATAAAAGTATTGATATTTAACAAACAGCTATCATTTTGTAACTTCACGCTGTCATGATCTTCAATTAGCGCGCAGTCATCATGATTTCTATTTGCTTTATTGATAAATTAAATTGATTTTTTATTTTAAACACAGAATTCGGATTACACGAACAGCGTTACACAATTAAATAATGAACAAAGCGATAAATAATTTTTTGCGTCATTTAAAATTTATTTCAGAAAAAAATCTCCAGAAGCTATAGTCACCGGAATTTATATTGAAGCGTAGATAATATTGATTTATTATTTACAAATAATGTGAAAATTTTAACATATTTTCTAGGATTACGAGTGTCGTGTTTCAGGGGTTAGCATATTGATCGCAGTCGATAATAAAAAAGTTAGGATTGTAAATAATTAACGGTGTAAGGTATCCGTATGACGGATCTTCTTGCATGCGAGTCATAAATCGTTATCAATCCAACATTTGGAATCGTGTGTACATCGCGTTGGGAATTTCCTGCGCGCTCACAAAGGACCACGCAGGAAGAAAATGCAGTCCATCTGCGGTGAATCTGTGTGCACGTTAGTCCCGAGTACGTGTCAACGAGCTCGTGCACTCGTGGTATTATTCGTGCGTATTACGTCGTGGATGAGTCACACGTGCGCGTTGTAAATCGCAAAATGAAGCCTTGTGCTCATTCTCTGCCGTACAATGGAATAATGATATATGATGATAATGCTAGGCACGCACGTGATTATCGCGCGGTCTTAATTTCTCTCTCCGATCTGTCACACAGAATTCCGGCGGCTAGATTTTTATCGCGGTATCGTCGCGGCTTTTACGGTTGAAAATAAGAAGGGGGAAAAAAAAAAAGAAAAAGAAAAAGAAAAAAAAAACCACGATCGTCCTGATTTCTCGGTGTACGTGTAACCGAGTGTGTCTGGGTGTACGCGGTGTCTCCCGGCGGCGACCGCAGCGGTTTGCAAATTGCGAGCTCCGTCCGAGAGAGAAATTTCGGATTCGTTCGCAATATCGATCTCGGACAGAACCGACAGACTCAACTCATCCACGATTGCTGGCATTGTGCTACTTGCAAACGCCTTTCCCAATTATCGGCTGTTGCATCCACGTGTCCATTTGTTGTGACGTGAATACGGAATATATTGACGTGGAAGTGAAAAATAAGTAGAATCGTCCGTATCGCGATACTCGCAAGTGATCTCTTTATTCGTAGTATTAGGATTGAAAATTTATTCGAATCAGTAAGATCAGTAAAATTACGTAAAATTATAGAATTTTGTTAACTATTATTAATGACACTCGATTGCATCGATTTAATAACATTTTTTTGTGTGTTTGTTTAGATGACGACAATAATAGTTACGTAAAAAATTGGCTATTATTTTGGCTAAATATGCGTAAATATAGCTTTATCCTTGGATGTAGCATAAAAAGGAAATTACGAGTACGCGAAAATTAGTCTTGTTGAGAAAACACGCCATATTGTACTTTAAAATAGTCATCTCTGTTACTATAATAGGTTCTGCGCTATTATGTAATTGTGTTAACACAGATTAACTGCGATTCTCCATTAAGAATCTTCATCTTGAGTCACCTCGAGAATCTCCGTCTCTCAGTTATTATTTTATACTATCGTATTTTATACTATCGTTGAAAAGTCACCGCCAAATTTCCTTCAAAAATGAATCAAGCTGTATCACACAGCAGGACGGAATAATCGTCCATAATTTCTAGCGATGAATTTACGCTATTACGTATTACAGGCGATTTAATCCTAATCGACAAACTCGAAATACGTGTATTTGTATTTGTTATTGCTTGTCGTGAAAGTGGAAAACGGAGCAGTTATTGCAACAGTTATCAACAATGTTGCTTGGAATATGCTTGGATTTTGCAATTATAAGAATTCGCAGACGCCGCACAAAAGAATGCGCATTTTATTGCCGACTAAGACATCGCTTCATCTGCTTTCCTGGTTAGATACGATCTTGCAGAAATACGTAGAGAAATATTCGCATCAATAACGCGTTCCTCGTATTAAAGCAAAAGATTATTATTTTTTTAAAAAGTATTCTCGCATAGATTTTACTTGAACTTTAAACGTGCGAATTTAATTTTGATTTTAAATTTAATGCATCATGCGAATTCCTCTTTACCTTGCTATTTTATCTGCATTCATCTTTTACAAAGAAGATGATTGAGATAAAATTTCTGCGTTAAATTGGAGCATCGTCTCGCTAGATAATGTGAAGACAGCGACGGTGAGTTTTAAGAAAAGAAAAAAAAAAAAAATGGACATTTGAAGTGACATGTTACGCGAGGCGTAATTTATTTCCGTGTGATTTTACTTCGACTTCGATGTAGGAAGGAAAATGTGACTGTAACAAGTATATCGCCATGGCTGCTTGGCATTTCAATGGCGAGGGTCAGTCCGCGTTACGTAACGGCCGGGGAAATGGGGAATATTTCAGTAGCGGCGGGGCGTTTAGGAATGCGCGAAAGTTAAGAAACACGTAAGAAGTTAAACTCCCAAAGGATGAAAGTCAGTTTCTTTCAGGCGTGGGCCGTGCGCAAGTGAACGCGACTCGTTACTCCGAGTCATTCACTTGGCTGCTCATTAGTGTCTCGATGGTGACTCTTATTATCTCAATTCCGCTTTAATGCTTCACATTGATTGGACAATTAACAATTAACTTGCACGCTAATTAAAAAAAAA